AGAAAGCAGTGGGTTAGATGCTAATTGCATGTCATGCCCTGGGATGATGCCCAAAAGGACAAATCAAAATGAGCTTCCCCCCACCCAGCATCGCATGAACGGAAGTGGCAACTTTAAGTGAATCCAGATTTCTTAGCATCCTTTCACCACGTAGGTCGATTTCTCAAAGCGACTGTAGACCAGCTCCCCTCGGTAGTAGGATGAGCAGTGGTTCTTCGCACTGGAGGCCCCCACTCGGGGTCCTGTCCAGCTGAATTAGAGGCATGCATTTTTTTTTTTATTAAAAAGTTTATTTTTACATCATTTTGCACATTTTTTTTTTCAATCCCCACGGGTTTCCCATCACCAAATCACCCCTGTGCCACCACCATAGTCCCATGCATTTCCCTCCCTTCCCCCCCACCCCCCGTTTTTGATCCCATTCCCCACTCCACCCCTACAGAATGTCTCTGGTCTATGGTTGTTCATTATTTTTGTTATTTTCTCGCCTGGATAAATGAACATAAATTTGATTGTACATTGGAAGATGACAAATGAAAGGGAATGTAGGCTACAGAAGGAAAAAGAGCAAGGAGAAGAAACAAGGAGTGCTACTGTTGGTATTGGCTGTGTTTTTGAATAATGGTCAGGAAAGGCTTCAGTGAGAAAGAACTGTTTGTGCAAAGACTTAAAGGAAATGAAAAAATAAGGCTAGACCATTGGAAATGTTACTTAAGTAGATATTTAGATGACCAAAATTTAAGCAGAAAGTTAATGTGAGAAGTGTCAATAAAGAACAACTAACTTTTCTCAGGGTGAGAGTGTGACCCAGGAATTGGTAGGTGATTATGATATGGTGTTGTAATGTGAAACCTTGAGACTTTTTGCAAGCTGGAGGCAAGGGTCAGGCCCAGTGAAATTTGGGGGACAGAGAGAACAAAAACAGGCAACATTTGAGAATACTGTAAGGGACGCATTGTCACCAGGGGAGATCTAGCTTTCAGACTAAAAGGTTGAAGAGAATGTTTATTAAGAGACTTCAGAGATAATGTATGATGTACTTTGTGTTCCAGAGTGTTCCTAATGAAAAGGATTCATGAGTTGCTAAGAGCGTAAGAAATAGAAACAAAATAGGACATATGAAGATCCAGATGGTCCTTATTAGGTGATAAAGAAGGTTTTGGGAGTCTGAAGCCTCTTATGTTTACCGACAAATAAAAATAAAAGTACAGTGAATTTAGTTTTGGTAGTCTCAAGACAGCTAGGAGTGGAGAGGCTGAGAGAGTATAGGTGCCCACAGAGGCAGAGGTCCTGTGGGTGACTCAGGCTGAACTTACTTTTGGCTCCTGTGAGGCAAGTCATGCTTCTAATATCTTTTAAGGCTAACTTGGCAAGAGTATTAGAATGTTTTGAAATGGCAAAACTATAGAAAATTTACCCATTTCTTTAAATCGATGTCTATTGGTTTGGGGCCCTAGTTTTGGAGAACACATACCTCTGTGTTGTTCTTTTCAGAGGCAAATATTTTTTATATAATTTCAAAGTAGGGATACACCACCTTTCTTTTTTAATTTTCCTACAAAGTATCCCTGCTCTTCAGCATTTTTATGAAACATTTAGTGTGACTGCAGTGGTAAAAATATCTCACATGTGTTTCCATAATTAAACAATGGGAAATTAAAGCACTGCAGTAATTCAGAATGAGAATTACCCAAAGTTTTCTGTAATTCCAAATTTCCTAATGTTGTTTCAAGTGGAAGCTCAACTGGTCTTAACTTTTTTGCTAAGAATCAAATATATTGAGGATGGTTGCTGTATTTCTGTGTAAGAAAAATATGTTTACAATATCTAGAACCCATAAATTAAACAAGATTATCTTCTAATGTGTTAGCCCAAACCCTTTTATTTATCTTAAGCTTCAAATGAAAGCTCAAATAGTCTTAACTTCCTTTCTAAGAATCAAATATATTGGGGTTAGTAGCTGTATTTCTGTCAAATAAAAATATTTTCACAATATCTAGAACGCATAAGTTAAATAAGAATATTTTCCAAAGTGTCAGCCTAAACCCTTCTGTGTATCTTAAGTTTCACTGAAATTTCAGTAAGTATAGCATAGGCTGACCAATTAACATGGTCATGCTATTTGGTCTTTTCATGTCAATTTTCAAGCATATTATAATATGGTCACAAACACTTGTCTGAGGATCTTGAGTGTTTGCATTAATCACTGAACAGATGATAGATATGTGATCTTTATCTAAATCTATCACAAGAACAAGAAAGAGGAAATTTAAAACTCAAAATGGTGATTCCATGTTCATGATGCCACCTCCCCCTCCCAATTCCATAAAGGCCTTAATATATGCAGCTGTTACAGTACATAGAGGAGAATAAATGAAAAAAAAAAAACACGAAAATAATCTGTAAACAATTTGACCTGCCTTTACTTACCTCCAGAGAAGCTTCAAAGTGAGTAAGTTCCCAGAGCCCCTATGGGAATACATTTAACTACCTGCCTGAAAAAAAGCTGATAGCGGGAAGAAAGGATCTCACAAATTTTAAATTAGTGAGCTTTCCCCCATTGTTTTCTATTCACAAGGTCACAAGGCTGGGTTTGAACTGAAATTAGTGACAGGTGCTGTGGTAGCCAGCCTCCAACATGGCTCACCAATAAATCTCACCTTCTGATAGTTTCCTCTCATACTGAGTAAGTCTCACCTGTATAACCAGTAGGATACTACTTAAATGAAAGGGTACACCCTTTTTAAAAAAGATTTATTTATTTACACATACAGAACTGGGGTACAGGCCAGCGGTGCAAGGTGGTGAAAGGATTCACCAGAGACAGAGTAGGGAGCAGAACAGGCAGATCGATTAAGTACACTGCTGAGGGGAGCAGTGGGCGAGAGAGGAGAGTCCTGCTGCACCCTGTGGTCATCTCCCTGGCTGGGGGGTCGAACTCCTGCTGGAGGGGCTTCGGCCCTGCTCTTTGGATGATTCACTCTGGGAACAAGTCTTTGCATGCTAGGTGCTATGGAACAGTCTTCATCAAAAGCCATGTGAATGAGCCATCTGGAATCAGACCCTTTAGTCCCAGTAAAGTTTTCAGATTTCTGTACCTTTAGTCAGTATCTAGACTGCAACCCGAAAATATATGGGGTAATAAGTGGTTATGGGTGGGGGGTATACCTGCTTTGGTTTTGGTTTTGCACTGATAACTAGTAAGTGACAGAAACAGAATTCAAAATCAAGATTGATTCCAAAAGTTGAGTTCCCAATTTTATCTTATGTGAAGCAAGGAACATCAGTTCCTTTCATTGCTTGGTCAATGCGATACTGTATCTACTCAAGTTGGGACAGTTAGGTTTTGGGTACCATGATTTACTAGTCAATTAATAGCCATACTTATTTTCTAGGTATTTACTGAAATGATTTCCCAAGAAGTCTTATTCATGTTTCAGGAGGAGATTTTCTGCTAAGAGTCCTCATTGAATCTTTTGTCTTTTGATATTAATGTGTACATTCTGCTTAATTTGTCCCTTCTCTTGTCCCTCCTCTGAACTCATTTTAGTACACAATTTTAATTTCCTCAAGAGGAAAAATTAGTGAGTTGTTTCTGAATTACTCTTCACTAGGATTGTAAATGACTTCAAGAACCAATTTGAAGTTCTATGCAAAAATTGTATCTACATTTCATGTCATAATTTTTCTCCTTCCTCAAATGTCATTTCAACCCCAGGGAAATCATCTTTTACCTTGAAAGAGCTAAACATTTCAGACTAAAGTAACAAATATTTATATCCCACGGTCCAGGTGACATGAGTCATGCTGCAACTAAAGAACATCTAAACTTGGCTGTCAGATCTGAGTGTTATTGTGGTAAAAATGAGACTTCCTTTGTCTGCTCATTTACCTACAATTAACTCTGAAAGGAATGTTCTAGTTATCTCCCCTAAAGCATCTTTAATTATAAATGCATGAATTTGCAAACTATAAATTAGGTGGTAATACCTTGATTAAAATATTAAGCATAGGGACCTCCCCTGTGGCTTAGGGCTTAAGCCTCAGTGCTACCATGTTTTTTATAGTTGAACAATAGTCCACTGTATGGATACGCCACATTTCGTTTATTCATTTACTCACTGATACATGTTTGGGTTTTCTGCACCTTTTGCACAGTGTAGATAATGATGCTATGAAAAAAAAATTATATTATGTATTTTTGCTTGAATGTCTGTTTTCGGTGATCTTGGGTATATGTTCAGGATCGAAGGTGCCCCCTCTTTAATATTTATTTTTTTATGCGTACAGAACTGGGGTACAGGCCAGAGGTGCAGGGGCGGTGAGAGGATTCACCAGAGGCAGAGTAGGGAGCAATGTACACTGCTGAGGGAAGCAGCGGGTGGGATAAGAGAGGCCTGCTGCACCATGTGGGTCCCTTCCCTGGCGGGGTATTGAATTCGTGAAGGGGCTGCGGCTAGCTTCGCAATGCTGTGCTTTAACCCGATGCGCAACCAGGGAGGGTCCAGTGCCCACTAATTTAAAAGCAGTTGAGGTCCCCCAACTCTATCAAATACACCCATATGTACCTTCAGAGAAGGAAGGTTGCGGGCCAGTAACCAAAGTATTTCTATATAGCTTCAGAGTCAGTCAGATGGACCTTAGTCAAATTACAGATGAGGCAACTTGGCTACTAAGGATCTCTGTGTCTCAGTTTGTCTATCAGTAAAATGGGAGTAATAGTCCTTGCTTCTCAAGATTGTTATGTGAAAAGGACACAGGCTGGCGCATAGCTGGCATTTAATAAATATTTCTTATTTCTCCACTTTTTCTTATGCTCTTCAAATTAACTGTTCTTTGAGATAACAGCACTTCTCTTCTCAATTTCTCTTTCAGGTCAAAATTAAACTGCCAAATACAAACGCTTCTGAAATTAAAATTGATATCCAGGAGACGATCCTTGACCTTCGTACTCCTAATAAGTGAGTAAAAATTAGAGGCAGTGTACTTAAATATTAATGAACTCTTTAATCGATAATCTTTTAAAAAGTATAGTTATTTTCATCACCCCTAAAATCTGAAGAAAGGTGAAAAAATCAATTAATAACTTGGATATTTGATATACATAATAAAACTATACATGGAAATACCTGGATTCTTTTCTACTTTGCATTGATAATTTTGAGTATGTTCGTATCACCAAAGCACAGACAATCCTTGACATTTAGATAGATAGCTCATCTGTCAAAAAGGGGTAAACATCCCTCATGTATGTCGTTTTTTCATTTAATACTTTAAAAGAAAGTATTTAAAAGAAGCAATATCTTTAATTTTGTGGATATTGTCTCTGAAATTAAATTTGATTACATTTATATGAAAAAATCCACAAAAATTTTCTTATCAATTATTTAAATATTTCTAAGCTAATTTTTCATTAGATCCCTTAGGCTTTGTGAATACATTATTAAAATAATACAGATTATCATGGAATAAGTTAAACAGTTTTGTACTTTCCAACATAGCTTGAATATGGACATATTCCCAAGACACAATATGTACAGTAAAATTCTTATATAAGGTTGTTTATGATGAAATCTGGAAAAATCACTCTACCTCAAAACTAACTATATAGAGAGGGAATCAATCAAAGCTGGTATGTGCTAGATAAAATATTTCAATATTTCACTACTTTGTTCACTTTTCATCTGGATATATAGCAATGAGCACACTTTAGTTGATTGGAGTGGTTCTTTCTCTGTAACTCATAAACATTTCAAACTGGGTGTGGGGAACAGTCACCTGTTAGCACATTCTCTTCCTTCTATTGTCAGTACCTATAATTCTCTTTTGTTAATCTTCAGGCTTCAAGAAAGTAAAAAAGTAGAACCCTTCTGAAAAAGACTTCTATGTAAACAATCCAATGTACATACATAGCTTGACTTGGATTTCTACAGTAGATTCAGTTAACCCAAGATGATCTATGGATGAATACATATAAACTATTTTTTCATCATTTATATAATTTCAAAAATGTATTCTCACTCAAAATCATCTCATGTTAGAAAAAATCCATTCACCATTCCTACCCTTCACCGCAAGGATTATTAAAATTTGTTCATTGCATATTATACACACATTCTGTGCAACCTTTGCAAGGAAAGTTGCTTAAATAAACAGTCAATCTTCCATGATATTTGTGCATTTGTTAAAAGCACACATATATCTACACACCATAGAGTTAATTTCCGTTCTCCTAGCTGTTCTCACTGTTTCCATCAATCTTTAGGCAGCTGCTCTGGCTATGCTGTCATTCCTGATAGCTATCAGAACACACTAAATGAAAGGCTCACACAGAGACACATTTCCATATAGAATGTGAACTGCTCTAGGTGATTTGGATCACACTGTACTTATATAGTAAATGTTAAGTGCACAGAGGTAATGTCTCTTCAAAACAAATTAAGATAGAAGAAGATACGATTAAGATGTTTATCATTTTTCCTAAATACTAGAGCATTCATTGAAGGCATGCTACTGTCTGGATATTATCAGGAATGTGTGTTGTAACACTATGTTGTCCCTCTCCAAGAAAGATGAGAGGACATTCTCTTCATGTACTATGGGGCAGAGCAAATAAATTTATTTTTAAAGATTTGTTTATTTATGCATACAGAACTAGGGTATAGGCCAGAGGTGCAGGGGCAGTGAGAGGATTCACCAGAGACTGAGTGGGGAGCAGAAGAGGCAGATCGATTAAGTACACTGCTGAGGGGAGCAGCGTGTGGGTCAGGAGAGGTCTGCCACGCCATGGGGTCACCTCCAGGGCAGGCGGGAATCGAACTCATGCGGAAGTGGCTTTAGCTTCTTAGTACTGTGCTTTAACCCACTGCGCTAACAGGGAAGGCCCACAAATAAATGTATTGTAACTTATTTATTTAATTGACTAATAATACCAAATAATAGGCAACTGCATTAGAATTATCAATAAAGCCAAGATATTTAGCATTGTACAACCAAAAGAAATGTCAGTTTACTAGATAGTTAATTTTTTTCCTCCAAGTTGCTATTTTGGTATGAAGATTCCCAGTGTGGAGTAGATAAAAAGGAAAGATGGGGGAAACTGGATAACTTCCCAGAGTCTCCAGACTTTTATTTTCATATAGGGTTTACTTAGTGAACTCAAAGAATATCATAAATGAACTCCTATATTGTATAAAGACAAATACAACTTATTTTATGGTTGAGTACTGCTTTAGTTTGTTCACACCTTTGCTGTGCCCCTTTAATTCAGACTGAGAACTGACTTGATATTTAAAGGTATTGATACCTTAAATAGAATAGTGAATTGCAGCTCAGTAGCTATTTCTGCACTTTCTTTGAAAATAGTCAATATTTATCTCCAGTAGGTAACCTCAAAACGGTCACTTCTGTTTTTAATTCAGATATGTAAATCAAATAATTTATAACTACATAAAATAAGACTGCATTATATGAATATGCACATAACAAAGTTGTTTTTTATTAAAATCTCTTGAGAGCAACATCAACTAAAGCTTTCTCAGCTTATAAGTCTCCAAACTGGAGTTCACTGTAAAAATAACATGTTTTTCTTTTCAAATGATAGTTTACATTTACATAACTTTTACTGGAAATTAACACTGGATGCACATTTGACCAGTGTCTAAACTTCTTCAACCGCAAATATTTTATTAATAAAGGCAGAAGGATTAGGTTTATAATGTTTATTCATATTTTATATTACTAATTTACAGTAATCATTCAAAATCAGTAGTCATTCAAATTCATCTTGTGGTGGCTTGTTGGCTTCCACTCATTTATTTACTCAGTCAACAATCATTTATAAAGTCTTTTTCTAGAGATTGGAGTAATAACGAGATAAAATACAGTCCTTCCTTCAATAAATTGTACAAGGATGAAGTATTTGTAGAATTTTTTTTTGTCTAATTCTAAATCTTTATTCAGATATCAGATAGCAAAATAAGATATTTTAAAGTGCATCCCTTCCCCTAAGAGCCTACGTAAGTTTCAGTTCATGTTGTTCAAATTTTTAGTATGTAAAGCCCAATACTGAGGATGATACAAAAATGCAGGGATAGATGGATCATTCCAGTGGCCACTAACTGTCTCTTTTGAATTTATTGCTCTCTGGACAGAGAAGTGCCCTTCTTCAGTTGATTGGAACTCCTTCAGCTGATTTATAGCTGTCTTTTAGTGAGATGAAGCTACTCCTGAGCTTTGCTTTCTTGTTAAAGTGAATATGTTATCATTTGTAGAATAAGGGATAAAGCAAATGTAACTCTAGCACAATTTATATTATAAACAAAACTGAAAAGATGTACTGTAAGCATTTTTTGCACCTACTTTTTAAAAAAGATGCCAAATATTACAAGCTACACTGAGCCACAATGCGATTTCATTACTTCAGGTGGAGGGAGCTGTTTCTCCTACCTTAAACAGCTGTAATGGTACAAGAATCAAGGAAAATTTCTCCTTTATCTTCCAGAGATGTATGATAAATACTTTTAATGAGCTCAGTTTACTCATTTTCACATGATTTTCAAGGGTTTTGTTTTCAAATACTTTCTTTTATACAAGTATTCAATAAATACCCCTGATACAACCAGATTCCCTTACTGATTGGCATCTTACACCTACTAAAGGAGCTTTTCTGTGCAATTTTATAGAGATATTCCAACCTCCTTTACCGAGAATGTGAGGTAACAAGTGTTTCACGCATTTAATTTTCTTCCCATACCAGCATGTGCTGACCCCGTGCATAATTCAGGCTCATACAACTATGACAGAATTATGGATGTGCCATCCCAGGAATGCATTTAAAGCATACAGCTATCCAGCAACTGAGTCATAAAGTGCAAAATAAATGCAGCTATCTCGCACAGGGAGTATTGGTTAATGTATAGTAGAAAGAACTGGAAGCAAGCAGAGAGAAACACTTTCATTCATCTAGTATTAAAATTATCTAAAAATGAACTTCAATGCCAACATCTATAGTAGAGACTCAGCCTCAAGTTGTGTTAGGAAAATTACAATAGAACCATTCTATTTTTCAGATTTGTATCAGTCACATTCAGTGTACACATACATATGCTTGACAACAGATTAATCCAATCAACTTAAAGCTGCAGTCGTTTAATTTTGAGATCTGAAACTGTTTAGATAATATGGAACAAGGTTAATTTAGAAAAGGATTTTTTTTTGTTCGATTTTGAGACCAAAAAGTTGGTAAACTGCTTGTGTTTAGGAATATTTTTATCCAATATTTATACTGCCTAAATATTGTTTTGTTTTGCTGCTTGCTATTATTCTGGTGGTATATTTTGCTTTCTGTGGCCTTATTAAAAATATCCTCCTGATATCACTTCACAAAGCCAATTCTGGGTTTTTATTTATTTGCTTTAGGAAGCTGATGGTAACCCTTCCCCATCCTGTGGAATGCAACAATGCCAAAGCTCTCTATATCCTAGAGACTGAGACTCTAGAAGTTACCATGACTATGAAAAGAGAACTGGATTTTGTGAATTTCTTCTGAAAATACATGAATAAGGAGGGGAAGTGGTAGAATAGCATGGATAAAAATAAAAACGTAAAAAAAAACTGGTTGTTTTCTATCTTCTATTATTCTGCCTTATTTTAGAATGGGTCTAAACACAATTATAGTGATATTCTAACTATTTAGTCATTTCTATTACTCTGGTTGCGAATATGGTTTCCTCATACTATTAAAATACTCCATTTTTTAAAAGAAGACTTATTTACAACAAGAATAATGAACAACCATATACCAGAGACATTTTGTGGGGGTGGAGTGGGGAATGGGATCAAAAACGGGGGTGGGGTGAGGTGGGGAAGGAAGTGCACGGGATTATGGTGATGGCACATGGGTGACTTGGTGATGGGAAACCCGCGAGGATTACAATTGAGATGGAAAAAAAATGTACAAAATGATGTAAAAATAAACTGATATATATATATGTGTATACACACACACACACACACACACACACACACACACACACATATATATATATAAAGAAGACTTATTTACTTATTCATACAGAACTAGGGTACAAGCCAGAGGTGCAGGGGCAGTGAGAGGTGAGAGGCTTCACCAGAGACAGAGTGGGGAGCAGAACAGGCAGATCGACGAGTTCAGAAGATGTCTGCTGAGGGTCAGAAGATGTCTGCCACGCCATGCGGCTCACCTCCGGGGCGGGGATCGCACTAGCACTGGAATCGAACTCGCACTGAAGCGGCTGCGGAGCTAACTTGCAGTGCTGTGTCCTAACCCGTTGGGCCACCAGGGAGGGCCACAATACTTTTTTGTAGTGGTAACTGGGTAGAATTTAAAGTTAAATTATTACATGTTGAAATTGCTGAATATGTCTATGTAATGGTTGGTCCACTCAGTAGTCTGAAGAATTTAAGGCAATTAATTATATAGATAGTTCCCCTATTTGTGATTTTTCTGTTTTACAATGGTGTGAAAGTGGTATGCATTCTGTGGAAACTGTACTTCCAATTTTTATCTTTTCCCTAGCGTAGGAATTGCAGTCTGAAACTCTCATTATGCAGGACAGCAGCAAGCCCAGCTCCCAGCTAACCACATGATCACTAGGGTAAACAACCAATACTCTAAGGTGTACTGTGTTGTCAAAGTTCGGGGGGTTTTTGTGTTCTTACATTCCACCATGTTTACAAAAAACCTAAATGTGTTTTCTCCTTCTGATGAGAAGAAAACCCACAGTTCCTCTTGAGATACAATTCAATAATTGCCCAACTGTAGGCTAATCCAAGTGTTCTGAGTACTTTAAGTATTTTTTTTTAATTTTTTTTTTTAAGATTTATTTATTTGTGCATACAGAACTGGGGTACAGGCCAGAGGCTCAGGGGTGGTGTGAGGCTTCACCAGAGACAGAGTCGGGAACAGAACAGGCAGATCAATGAAGTACAATGCTGAGGGGAGCAGCGGGTGGGCCAGGAGAGGTCTGCCACACCATGTGGTCACCTCCGGGGCAGGCGGGAATCGAACTCATGCAGAAGCGGCTTTAGATTCTCAGTGCTGTGCTTTAACCCGCTGCGCCACCAGGGAGGGCCGTACTTTAAGTATTTTAAGGCTAAGCTATGGTATCAGTAAGTTAGGTACACTAAATACATTTTTAATTTACCGTATTTTCAATTCATTATGGGTTTATTTTCAATTTATGGTCACAAAGTAACCCCACTGTCAGACACGGAGAGTGATAAAATTAACTGCACCATCAAGTGGTCATTTTTATAACCAGAAAAGTTTATTTGGTTGCCTTTTTACTGATTTGATCAAATGATTTACAATGTTCTCTTTAGGCAGTCACTATTGCTCTGGCATATTTAAAATAACAAAGAATTACAGTTTGATGAACACTAACACATTATATATCTAAGTTTTTTTAGTTCTTAAATTTTAACAAACTTTAAACAAAAAGTGCGCATTTCTAAAGAAAAACAAAATTCCTTATCTGATAGTTATTCAGATATCACATGTATCCAAGCAAGAGTACATACATGTTCAGTTATTGCAAAGAAAAACAAATTCCGTATCTCACAGATATTCACAAAGATTGCATGTATCCAAGTAACACACACACCTTTCATTATGCCAAAGAAAAGCAAAATTCCTTATCTCATAGATAATCAAAAATTACATGTATCCAA